ATGGGGCAGCCTGGGGATTGCTCCAGGCCCTCCCTTGGGTCGCTGCTGGGAGAGCACTTGGCCCAGCCCGTGCAGGGAGGGGCAGCAGCTGCCGGGCTGGGGGCTCTGGCTGGGCTGTCCGTTTGCACGGTGGCTGGTTAGGTCCCAGGGCGAGTGTGGCCCGGTTTGCAGAGCCAGGGGTGGCGGGCTGGGGATCTGGGGTCTCTCCCGGTTAAGTCCGTGGGAGCGGAGCGGAGAGGGGCTGCCGGGCGCCGCCTGGCCCCGGCCTGTGGGGTTCGCGGTGGTGGGAACGTTTCCGAATTTCAAAACTCTGTAGCCTCCCCTGGCCTGGGGGGAGCCCTTGGGAGGCGCCACGGGGGAATTCGAACTCTGCGGCTGAGCCCGGCGGAGCGCCTGCTGTGCAGAGGAACACGGCGGAGACAGGCCTGCCCGAAAGGGCCTTGGCACCCCCCTTACGCAGCGCTGGGCGGGCGGGCAGTGTTGCCCACCCCCGCCTCCTCCAGCGGCAGAGCTTTGGGGGAGCCAGTGCACCCCGGGGCGGTGTGGGGGGCCTAGCACCCCGAGGGTGCACAGCCTTGTGACCACAGGGGAAAGCTGGCCGGGCGAAAGCTAATCCTCTCCCATAATGGGCCCCGAGCCTCGCGCCCCTCAGGCGCAGCCCGGGCAGGAGCGGACCGAGGCCTTGACTACGCTTAAAAGTTGGAAGAGCAGCGCTTGGAAGTGCTAGTGCGGCTCCGGCGCTCTGTGGAACCGTCTGGCACCGCCCAGCGCTGGAGCCTGGCTCTCCCGGGGGCTTTGCAGCCCTGGAACTTGCTCTGTGTCTCTGTCGGTGTGTGTCTGTTTGTGTGTCGGTGTGTGTCAGTGTGTCTGTGTCTGTCTGTGTGTCGGTGTCTGTGTGTCGGTGTGTGTGTGTCGGTGTGTGTGTGTGTCAGTGTGTGTCTGTGTGTTGGTGTATGTTGGTGTCTGTGTGTCGGTGTGTGTCAGTGTGTCTGTGTCTGTTTGTGTGTCAGTGTCTGTTCTGTGTGTCGTCGGTGTGTGTCAGTGTGTCTGTGTCTGTCTGTGTGTCAGTGTCTGTGTGTCGGTGTGTGTCTGTTTGTGTGTCGGTGTGTCTGTGTCTGTGTGTCTGTGTGTGGTGTGTGTCTGTGTGTCAGTGTCTGTGTGTTGGTGTGTGTCAGTGTGTCTGTGTCGGTGTGTGTCGGAGTGTGTCGGTGTGTCTGTGTGTCTGTGTCTGTGTGTGGTGTGTGTCTGTGTGTCAGTGTCTGTGTGTTGGTGTGTGTCAGTGTGTCTGTGTCTGTCTGTGTGTCGGTGTGTGTCTGTTTGTGTGTCGGTGTGTCTGTGTCTGTGTGTCTGTGTGTGGTGTGTGTCTGTGTGTCAGTGTCTGTGTGTTGGTGTGTGTCAGTGTGTCTGTGTCGGTGTGTGTCGGAGTGTGTCGGTGTGTCTGTGTGTCTGTGTCTGTGTGTCGGTGTGTGTGTCTGTGTGTCGTGTCGGTGTGTGTGTCTGTGTGTCTGTGTGTCAGTGTCTGTGTGTGGTGTGTGTCTGTGTGTTGGTGTGTGTCGGTATCTGTGTGTGGTGTGTGTCAGTGTGTCGGTGTCAGTGTCTGGGTGTCTGTGTGTCTGTTTGTGTGTCTGTGTGTTGGTATGTGTCGGTGTCTGTGTGTCAGTGTCTGCGTGTGGTGTGTGTCAGTGTGTCAGTGGTGTCTGTGTCTGTCTGTGTGTTTTCCCACCCCTGAGCCGGACGGTGGCAGGGCAATGAAGCGCCGGTGCAGGTGCAAGTGTGGCGGGAGAGTCAGAGCTGCTGTGAGAGCGGGCGAGTGCCGAAGGGCAGGAGCCGGCTCCGGGAGCCCAGGCCCTGCAGAGCTGGCCCGTCCGCCCCCCGCCCCCGTGGGCCCTGCAGGGTCAGTAGCGGCGTCGGGGTCGGGGCGAGCTCTGAGGGGGCGGCCTGCGCGTTCCGGGAGTGCCAAGGTGGTGCCTGGCGCAGAGAGAAGGTGGCTCTTTAATGGCCGGGGCAGCTCTTCCCTCGGGCACCGGCCCTAGCGCAGTCGTCTGAAACGTGGCCTCCTGCAGCAGGCAGACCCCAGGCGGGGGTTTGCTCCCCGGGGCTCTCGGAGGGAGGCCTCCCCAGGGCGGGCTGGGAGAGCCGCAGTCCCAAGAGCCGTGCCGGGGCGGCTGCGTTGGGCAAGACGTGTTGCAAGGCCAGGAAGGCAGTTGCTCCACAGCCGGGGGTGCAGGCCGCCTGTCAGGCCCCGTTTCCTTGGCTTTTCGCCTGTGCAGGGTCCATTGTGCAATTCAGAAGCCACCCGCTGCGTCAGGGCTGCTCAGGGACGGCGGGGGAGCATTTGTGCCAGCTCCGACGTGGGACCGTGTCGCTCACGGAGAATCCCAGGAGTAGAAAAGGGCTCCGTGGGACGAGCGCGGCGCCGGGAAGTCTCCTGGGCCACTTCCCAGCGGCCAGCTGTTCAGACGAGCTCTGCACACGCAGCCACGGGCAGATTTCTCCATGGCGTAGGAGATGAGCCCTGAACGCGCTGGCCCCAGTCACGGTGCTGGTGAGTCCTGGGACACCTGGCTGGACGCCCCTCGCCAAAATGCCAGAGGCCCGCAGAAGAGCTGAGGATGGGCGTCCGCTGCGGCAGGCACGTCCCCTCCCCGCACTCTCCTGCGCCGTCCCTTCTGCACCGAGACCGGAGGGCACCCAGGCTAGTGAGAGGCCGCGTGACTGGCCCTGTTCATCACAGGGGGCCGCAAGATTGTTGTGCCCACGCGGGTCTCTCGGGCCAGGGCAGGGTCGCTCCCAGCGCTGGCGTCCCTGGAACGTGCAAGGGCTGCCGACTGAGCCGTGGCAGCACCGGGACTGGCCGCAGAGTAGAGATGGGAAAGTTTAACCAGGTAACTGGAAGCCCCACTCCTACCGGTTACAGTTAACTGGTGGGGCTGGAGCAGCTGCCTGCTGTGGGCCCAGGCGGGGCCTGCTGTGGACAGGGGCTGCTCCAGCCCAGCACCTCTTTGCGACGGATCTGGACCCCTGCTTGTCCCCTTTTAATCAGTGAAACGATGTGGAACGGTTGGGCAATTCACGGCATTTTACATCCTTAGTGCAGGGGGAGCGCCCGGCTCCCCCAGGGCGTGTTGGGAGAGATCAGCGCGCTGCCCCCTTCACGGGCCGTGGCCTCGCGTGCGTGTCGCTCTAGTAACACTGGTAGGGAAAACCGATGGCAACGGAAACCAGCAGAATCTGGCAGCCCTGCGCGTGGGCAGCGGTTACAAAAGGTCTCCCGGGCCACGTGGGGCCCAGACGCTTGAGAGCTGGTTGCAAGAGGTCCGAGCAGATGAGGTTCCTCGGGAGGAAAGTGGAGGTTTGGGAAGAGGAGCGGAGGCGGGAGCCGCGTTCGCCGTGGCCGGCAGCGATTAAGCCGTGGGCCAGGGTCTGTGATTGGGGCTCTCGGGTGGCAGCGTTGAGCGCGATGTGAAGACGCAGGCGGGATTCCTGCACCAGGGTCTAGCTGCCACGAGACGGTCACGCAGCGTTCCAGGGACCGGGAGAGAGTCCTCCAGAAAAACTCAGCGATATCCCTGGGTTGTTTGTGAGCTAATTCAGTCGCTCTGGAATACGCCCTCGGTTCTCCCAACAGACCCTGCTCTCTGTATTTTTCCCTTGCAAGCATACGTGTGCGCCTGCTTTCGCTGCACCGTGGCGGCTCGCATCGCTACATCCCATGGCAGGAGCCAGGCGTTTTGTGTAGGAGACAGACAACCAGTGGCCCGGGGGCATGGCTGTTATAGAGCAGACACTGAAAACACTAACGTGGAGACCTACTGCCTGGTCACAGGGCTCCTTCGCTGATTCAGGCACCCGCTGGTTTCGTTTTGCAAACGCTGTCTCCAGAGAACCCTTGACTTGCGGGGTCTCCTCCCATGAAGGTGGCGAAGAGAATCGCTCAGCGGGCAGTGGGCACACATAAAAGCTGGCGTGTGGACGGGGGAGGCGGTTCCGCTTGGTTCCTGGTTTGGATCCGCCTGTGCAAGGGGCACCGAGTCCCGGCCCTGCTGCAAGGCGCGTTGTGCTCTGGAGCGGCCCACGAGCCCCCAAGCGCTCGCTGTGCTTGTCAGGATGAATCAGCCTGTTTCGGGAGAGCAAACGCTGGCGTGTCAGCAGCCATTGCCAGAGCCGCCCGCGAGTCCTTAAGAAACCTTTAGAGGCCAGCGGTGCACCCGCTCCAGCCCTGTTTCAGTGAGGCCCCTGCTGCCTTATTCGAACAGGTGGGCCCCGTGCGGGTGTCCCTGGGAGTGATGGTGACTGATTCAACCCCTTGCACTTGTGCTAGAGTGGGCAGGGGAGTTGCCTGCGAGGAGCTGCCGTTATTTCTAGGGATGCTAAAATGGTTTAATTATGTAATTGCCTAACCACTGAAAATGTCAGCAGCTCGGTGCGGGGAGGAGGCGGCTCCCACCTGCTGCCTCCCACTGCTGCCTCTGATACAGAGAGAGCAGCGCGGGGGGGCTGCGTGTAGCTGTGCACGTTAACCGATGAGCCCAGGCTGTGTCAATGGTTTTACTTCGGCAGCCCTAGTTATTTCGAAAGACCTTCTAGGAGGTTTCCTCAAGTTGTGGTTGTGTTAGACGCATTTGGCTTTTTTATTTCCCATCTCAGTGGGCAGTGTCCTGTTGTTTTTATTCCACATGTGCAACCTAGATTTATATTTGGGAGTCTCAGTAAACACTGTCTGATCCGTCTTAGTTAGGGATTGTGTTCTCTGCAATCTGGATTTGTTATCTTTCCAATCAAATTGCAATTCCCATCTTTCTTCTTGGGCTCTAGGGTGGTACGGTAGTAGATCGCAGAGAGAGGACGGTTGAAAGTGGAGCTCATTCTAGGTTGTTGGTAAATGAGTAACTGTGATCTGTGTGTGGGCAATATGGTGACCGTCAGCTTTGGTACCGTGCACGTTAAATTCTGCAGCATGTATCTGCAGCTGGAGAGAAATGATACATCTAAACAAACAGATAGAGGGTTTTGTCGACAGAAGTTTTGTCGACAGATACTGTCGACACAGCTTCTGTCGACAAAGAGCCTCTAGACTACATCCAGTTCTGTCGACAAAGCAAGCCACTTTGTCGACATGACAGTGTTGTCGCAAAGGACAGTGTAGATGCAATAACACCTTCTGTCGACAGAACTCTGTAGACAAAAGGCATTATTCCTCATAGAATGAGGTTTACCGCCATCAACAAAACTGACGCGTTCTGTTGACATTATGTCGACAGAACTTGGCGGTAGTGTAGACACAGGTATAGTTTTGTTGACAAAACCCTGTAGTCTAGACACACTCAAAGCTGCTCCACCCTTCAACATTGAAAGTGCTCAAGACTATAAATAGAATCTTGCTGGGGCCAGTATGGTGGGTTAATGTACTAACCTCTAACCTCTGGAAACTAGTTTAAATCTTGCCTTAGGGCAATAAAGGGAAATTGAGTTTGATGGTGTCAAATTAGTCCCTAGTAGTCTTTTGTGTCTACACTCTCATGTTGACAAAGCGGCTTGCTTTGTCGACAGAACTGGATGTCGTCTAGACGCTCTTTGTTGACCGACAGTATCTGTCGACAAATGCCTATAGTCTAGATGTTCCCTTTGAGAAGAGGAAGAGGATAGGGAAGCCGATCCATGACCCGTGCAGCTGATGTCTAGGTGCAAATAGGCAGGGGTTTTAATGGCTACTTTTCTCTGTTTTAGAGTTCTGCGAAGATGAGGAGCGGCTGGTAGCTGAAGTGTCAGAGACGTACGCGCGCCAGAAACACTCGGAGGATGAGGTGCAAACACCGCTCACCGTCCTCCAGCCTGATACAAATTCGAAAGCAGAAACGGATCACAGACTCGACAGAGTGACACGCTTTGCACCAGAAACCGAGGCGCTTTTGGACGGCTCTTCAGCACTCCCTGCAGAGACCCGTCTTTTGTCATCGGTAGAGTTGGCTCCGGAGCAGACGCTGCCTCCCGATGGACCCGTAGCTCCCCAGGAGAGGGGGATGTCTGGAGAAGGCGTGGTTGTCATGCCCGAAGGGTTGGCTGAAACTCTTGCCCTGGAGTCAGTGCCGAGCAAGAGCAAGCTCCAGAAAGTGAAACCATCTTCCCTCCGGAAGAAAGCGGCTGGGGAGACGGGAGAAACGGAAGCAGCGGCAGAGGGCAGCCCTGCCCCCAAAGCATCTCACCACTTCAGTCCAGCTGAGTATGATGAGGAGATAAACCCCTTTCCCACCCCCCCCCCTGCCGCTCAGCAGAGCTTCATGGCTTCCAACTGCGACGCCAGCGACTCCGGGGTGGAGTTGGCCGAGGAGTCCAGGGGCCAGGCTCTGCAGCTGGAGTTTGATTTCACAGACGGGGTGGAGGGCGGAGAGGTCAGGAAAGCCCTGCCAAAGAAAAGCGGCAGGAAGCCTGCCAGCAAACTGACTCCCAAACGACAAAGAGACGCAGCCAAGAAGCCCGCGAGTGCTGAAGGTCTGGAAAAGGCTCCAGGGGAGGCGCCTCTCCCCAAAGCCTCGTACACGGCGGACCCCAGCCAGTGGGACGATCCCAACTTCAACCCTTTTGGCGGCAGCCTGCGGAACTCCCCGCCCCTCCCAAAGGCTTCCTATCGTTTTGACCCCAACGACTTTGACTCAGTGGATCCTTTTACACCCAGCAGGAGCTTAGCCGGCGTGGCCGCTGACTCCTGTCCCGCGGTGGGCAGCTGTCTCAATGAAATCCTGGAGCCCCAGACTGTGGAGGTGCAGGGCGCGGAGCTGGCGACAGGCAAAGCCTCTCCGAAGAAGGCCAAGTCGCGCTTGATAACGTGAGTGCTGCCGCCTGCAGTGTTTGCTGCTTTGTGCTCTCGTGGGCTCCGGCGGCCAGAGGGCTGCTTTGCAGGGTGGCAGCACCGCGTCTTCGTTTCCCACGTGCCTTGGCGTCCTCCTGCCCCGTCGCTGTCCTCCAAGCGGCAGAACGAGCCGAACGACCGACAGCCAAGGCAGGCAGCCAGATTCTGCAGCGCCGCTGCATTTGGTTCCTGCCGGTGCCTTGGCACACGGTGCTTGTGGTGTCGGTGTCTTTTCCCCTCCTCCAGCGGTTCTTCATGAACCCGTGGGAAGAGAGAGCCAAGTGCACTCAGCCACGCGTGTGTTAGTCGCAAGGGCCAAGTAGCCTAGTGTCTCTGAGATGAGCGAGTAACAACTCTGAGGCCAGGTCTGTGCTGGGGGAGAAAGTCAACCTAAGAGATGCAATTCCAGCTATGACAATAGCCATCGCGGGGTGCTGATGGGAGAAATTATCCCGTCGATGTCCCTTTCTCCCTGCAGCCTTGTGGAGTACCTGAGTCGACAGGGGCGCCATCTGTGATCAATTTAGCGGGTCTTTAGTAGACCTGCTAAATCAAACCTCGGAAGATCGATCTCTAGAACATCGATCTTGGGGTAAGTGAGGACAGGGCCTTAGCGCGACCTGGTTGGAAGCACAGTAGGTGAGAGAGAGCAGTGGCTGAAGTTTTAAATCCCCTACCATTGAAGGGTTGATTCCAAACAAATCGTGAACATGCGAGCTGGGCAGAAGGGGGCTTTCTGGCCATCGCTGCGGCTCTTCCGGTTATACGGATGGATGCCTGTCTCCTCGTGGGGCTGACACGTTTTGCAGGTCGTCTCGGAACGGCCTCTTTCCTAGCTAGAGAAGTGGGTTAAACAGTCAGGCCACCTGTTCTGTCTGTTGTTCTGTCTGGAGCCCGCGCAGAGCTATTTTGGTACACGTGCGGGTGGGCGTCTCTGTATCCAGATTGAGTTCTGCCAGCAGGCTGTGGTCACGGGACTACTGAGATTTCACAGCGCCAACTGGGAATGCAGGCTGAATTGTATCCGCTCTCGGGGAGTGCACGTCACTCGAACCCTGCCACCCGTTGTAGCTCAGGTTTCCTCCAAGCAGGTGTGAGCCTTCTTCATGTCTCCAGGTGACTTGAGTCTCACAGTTTGAAGCTGCAAGATACAAATTCCAAATAGGGTTGAATCAAACCAGGATGTGGTTTGTGAACCGGCAGGAAGGCAGAAAGCATTACTGTACAAGAGAGTCATTTCCCACTGAACACTGGGGCCTTTCTCTTGTCATTATTAACGGTCGGTCACATGGCCACAGGGGCAGGCACAATCAGCAGCAAAAGGAGAAGCAGGAAATAAGTTAAGTGGGGAAGTTTGGGAAGCTGCTGTTTGTGCTTGAAATTGACACTAAAAGTGAAACACGCTTCCGTCCCGCTGACAGATTGTCCAGGTGAAATTTAATTAGGGGGAAATCCTGGAGAATGAGTTTTAACTGTGAGATCATGGAAAAAACGCAGCACATCTTTCAGAAATATCTTGCAGGGAATCAGTTCAATCCCAGAGCTCCTCAAGGTTTGATTCTGCAGTGGCGAAGGGTTAGCAGGCGGTGGAATAGCACTTAAAGTTCCTGGTTCCATCTCTTCTTTCTTTAGGAGCAGACTAGCTGGGTGCCTGGGTCCCTGGGGTTTGGATTTTTGCCTGAACGTTCCCTTCTTCCCCAATACTAATCAACACTGAATTTTTTCTGTCTCCTCTCTGCATGTCCGCCCCAAGAACGAGAACTGTGCAGCTCGTTACATTTATTCAAATGAGAGATAATATCCAAGTCTTTTCACGCGCTTTTTTTTCTTCCCATCTGTCTGTCTCTCTTTCCTGTCTATTATTTGATGCATCAGGACTACTGAACAAGTGACATTTCTCTGTTTTCTGTTGTAAGTACTCGCTTCTGTTTTATTTCCAGTGTTTGAGCATTCGCCACCCCCCTCTCATGGCATGCGGGCTCCTTCCTTCCTCTTGAGTTCTGCTGCCTGACTTGTCTTCTCCACCTCTCTCAGACCTTATGCCTTAGACAGCTTAGCCTTGCAAAGGCCCGAGGGAGGGAGCTGGCAGCTTACGATAGGTGTGTGTCTGTGCTTGCTCCCAAAGTGTGTGCGTTTTGATGGCATAACAGTGTGTGAAATCGGCATGTTGGGGAGGCCAGTGGCGGTCAGCCTCTCCAGATAGCTGTCCCCCTTGCGGGAGGCTGGCCTTGTGTCCCTCCAAGGTTCAGCTCACTTAAAACCAAAATTGGACATAAAAGCACCCAGGTGTCCCTGCGCACGATCACTGCTTGTTTTGTGCCACAGGGTTCTAAAATAGATCGACGGGAACTTGGGTCTCAGCATCTGCACAGTAGGGACGAGTCTGTGGGTGGCATGTTAGTTTCTGCTGCCTCTGCTAGTGCTCTGGGGGTAGCCTGTTGTAAACGAGGCACGTCACTAGCCGAGTGGTTGTTTCCCCAGGATATGTGACCCCGTGATTGGGAACCACAGGGTGGGGGGCCATCTCTGGGATGCCTGCTTTGCAGAGGCAAAGGTCGTTGTTTATCCTGCAGGTGGCTCTTTCCCCTTGGGGTTGTCTCCCCATGGAACTAGCCCTTGTCAAGAAGCGTGGGAGGCAGGGAATGGATCTAGGGACCAGCTGGGAATGGCCCCAGGGGCTGGTGGGAATGGCTCAGGGGCCAGCTGGGAATGGCTCTAGGGTCCGGCTAGGAATGGCTCTAGGGTCCGGCTAGGAATGGCTCTAGGGTCCGGCTAGGAATGGCTCTAGGGTCCGGCTAGGAATGGCTCTAGGGTCCGGCTAGGAATGGCTCTAGGGTCCGGCTAGGAATGGCTCTAGGGTCCGGCTAGGAATGGCTCTAGGGTCCGGCTAGGAATGGCTCTAGGGTCCGGCTAGGAATGGCTCTAGGGTCCGGCTAGGAATGGCTCTAGGGTCCGGCTAGGAATGGCTCTAGGGTCCGGCTAGGAATGGCTCTAGGGTCCGGCTAGGAATGGCTCTAGGGTCCGGCTAGGAATGGCTCTAGGGTCCGGCTAGGAATGGCTCTAGGGTCCGGCTAGGAATGGCTCTAGGGTCCGGCTAGGAATGGCTCTAGGGTCCGGCTAGGAATGGCTCTAGGGTCCGGCTAGGAATGGCTCTAGGGTCCGGCTAGGAATGGCTCTAGGGTCCGGCTAGGAATGGCTCTAGGGTCCGGCTAGGAATGGCTCTAGGGTCCGGCTAGGAATGGCTCTAGGGTCCGGCTAGGAATGGCTCTAGGGTCCGGCTAGGAATGGCTCTAGGGTCCGGCTAGGAATGGCTCTAGGGTCCGGCTAGGAATGGCTCTAGGGTCCGGCTAGGAATGGCTCTAGGGTCCGGCTAGGAATGGCTCTAGGGTCCGGCTAGGAATGGCTCTAGGGTCCGGCTAGGAATGGCTCTAGGGTCCGGCTAGGAATGGCTCTAGGGTCCGGCTAGGAATGGCTCTAGGGTCTGGCTGGGAACAGCTGCAGGGGCCGGCAGCTCCCAGCATGATTTCCGACGAGCCCGGGGACTCAAAATCTAACTGTCTGTCCCAGAGCTTTCCCTGGTGATGCCTTTGGGCTTGGGGCAGGGCGGGGGGGTGCAGTTTATCTGGTTCCGTGCAGACCCGCCCCATAAAATAAAGGCGTTTCTGTTGCGAAGAGCAGCCGCCTGGCCCAGCGGACGCACTAGCAGCATTGTTGGCTCGCGATGCCTGCCCAGGGAGTGGCAGTCGGGGGGTTAACAGCCCGCTGGGGGCAGAGCTGAATGGCAGCGATTTGTTCTGCAGCAGCGCGGCGCGTAGGGCTCTGTTCCGCTGTCTGCTGCACGGGCAGGTTGCCAGAGACGCTCAGTGGAGGGGACAGATGAAGGGTAAGGGGAGAAGCAGAGAACAGAGTCCCTGAAGGTCCTGCAGCAGGTGGGTGGTGGGAGACGGCCGAGGTTTCCCGCCTGCCAGGCTGGTGCCCTGTCTCGGTATCTTAGGGTTAATTAGCCCATCAGGCAGCCTGTTCACACTCTACCAGAACGTGTCCTGGTAACACAGCTAGACAATATCGACCTTCCGTGGGCTGGCGAATTCTCTGGTTTGGCACCGGTCTGCCGGCCGGGAGAGGGTCACCCTGCTGTGTACGCTGCCGCATTCGGCGTGGGCAGCCGGCGGACACAGCCCAGGGAACTAGCCCGTGTGCTTGTCGGAACCTGTTTCCCGTGCGTGGTGTCGGTGGCGGGGCAGCGCTTTACCACACACTTTTCCGGAGCCAGCAGCGATGAGGTGACACCAGATTTCTGGGCCCTCATACTCCCCCAGGCCGAATAGCCCCGTTTTCCTGCCAACTAGCGTCACGTGGCCGTCGCCCCCCCCGAACAGCAGCCGAGGGGAGAGGAGTCGGTCGGTTGCGCTAACAGCGAGAGAAATTCAGAACTAGCTGGAATAGACTAGTGTCTGCGTGGGGCTGGGCCGGGCGTGCCAGTGCAGACGGCTCCATTCAGGATGTTCTGCATGGGACAGGGAGCGCTGGCTTTGGCCTTCCTCCTGAAAGCTGGCCCGTCTGTCTGCGGTACTGGCCGCTGGTTTGGGGATCGTCCTACTGCAGGAATCTGTCCAACGGGTGTTTTCCTGAGCCGGACACGCCCTTTGCTTTAGTGTGAGTCCAGTGCCCTGTCCCCCTCCTCTGGGAGAGGGTATTCCCTGGCCAGCGGGTCCTGGGGTGTGTTGTCCCATGTCCTGTGGGCTCTGGTACCTCCGGGCTCGCTGACTGAAAGCCGCGGCGGGCACGGAACAGGGCACTTTCTAGGGATGCTGGATGAGCACCAGTGTGTCTTGCAGAGAGACACAAACTCCCAGCTTGTGACTAGCGAGCCAGGGCTGCCAGATGGCCTGAGAGCCCCTCCCTGCCCCAAGCACGAGGGGCCCTGCTCCTGTGGACCGGAGCGTCCGCTGCTTGCGTGAGCACCTCCTGGAGAAAGGCGAAGTTGGGCGGGGATTGAGGCAAACTCACAGGTGAACATGAGCTTCCAAACCGGGTTCCCTCGTGCACACACCATAGACTGGCGCGCTAGTGACCCCTGCACGTGGAGAGTCGCAGGATGGAAAATGGGCAGAGGCCTGAAAAAAGAGCAGGGCGATCGGAGAGTGGACTGGGATGATTATTAGGGCCACCTGCAAATCTTTTCATACTTCGCTATTGGAACCAACGGGGCCGTCCACCACGTGTTTGTAACGGGCCCTCGCAGGATCTGTCCTAGGCTCAGCAAGTGTGCGTCGTCTGGGGAACCAGAACCCAGTGGCTGGAACAGTAGATCGCTTCCTGAGGCCGCGAGGGGATGGGGACGTTTTATTCCCTGCCAGGACGCTGAAACGTGACTTCCTGTGCTATGCGAGAGAGATGAATGCACGTGTCCGTGTCCGTGTCCTAGTGCACGTGTCCGTGTCCTAGTGCACGTGTCCGTGTCCTAGTGTCCGTGTCCGTGTCCTAGTGCACGTGTCCGTGTCCTAGTGTCCGTGTCCGTGTCCTAGTGCACGTGTCCGTGTCCTAGTGTCCGTGTCCGTGTCCTAGTGCACGTGTCCGTGTCCTAGTGTCCGTGTCCGTGTCCTAGTGCACGTGTCCGTGTCCTAGTGCTACGAGGAAGTTTCGCTCGTTTCCCTTGTTGCAGGGGTTGGTGCAGGCTCCAGATCCATGGACACGGCCCGTCCGTCTTGCCAAATGCTGGAGCAAGGGCGATGCCTCTTGGCCTGGCTGCTTGACCCTGGTGGGCTGTGCCGGGGTCTGCCAGATTTAACTCCTGGGTCGAGATGAATCTGCACGGGGTCCAGGGAGCACAGAGCAGAGCTCATCACAGGGCCTGCAGCAAGCGGCACCACGTGGCTGAGTGTGGCTACGACCAGACGAAGCAGCATGCGGCTCCGTGGGCTGGCTGCTGCGAGTGCCCCCAGGCGACCATCTCGCTCCCGGCTGCTGGTCGACTTGCAGCGTGAGGGAAGCCGGGCCTGGAACGAGCCGGAAGAAGGGCTCAGCGTAACCCCGGCCTTAGCCTGCTCTAGGGCAGGCTGCAAACGCTCCTCACCCGCCTCCTCCCTCTCCGAGACGCGGTTTGCCCCGGCCCTGGGTGGATAATTCGGATACAGAGGACTGATTCTGCCCCTCACACCCAGCGGCGCGTCGAAGCCGGGCCTGGAACGAGCCGGAAGAAGGGCTCAGCGTAACCCCGGCCTTAGCCTGCTCTAGGGCAGGCTGCAAACGCTCCTCACCCGCCTCCTCCCTCTCCGAGACGCGGTTTGCCCCGGCCCTGGGTGGATAATTCGGATACAGAGGACTGATTCTGCCCCTCACACCCAGCGGCGCGTCCTACCCCCTGGGGAGGGAGAGGAGCAGACGACCCCAGAAAGCCTGGGCTTGGCTGTGCAGGTCTGCCGTGCCTAGGAGAGGCAGAGTGCTCTGCGCAGCCGCAAGGCAGACGGGCAGCCCTGTGCTTACGGAGGGGGCTCCCCGGGC